ATGCTTCAGCCTGGGCCACAGATCAAAGAGTCTCAAAAAACAAAACAAAACAAAAAATGAACTGGAAGTTGTATTAGAGCTCATCTGTTCAGATGCCCCCATTTTCCATCTGAAGAAACAGATGTAGAGATATTTATTATTTGGCTTCAAATTGGACACCTATTTAGTGGGAGAACTTGAATTCAGTGCTCACTATACTAACCGAGACTGCAAAAGCATAGAATACATTGAGGTTGATGAACACAGGGTGGGTGTCAGGGATTGAAAGGGACACAAAAGCTGGGCGCGGTGGCTCACGCCTGTAATCCCAGCATGTTGGGAGGCCGAGGCGGGTGGATCACAAGGTCAAAAGAGCTAGACCATCCTGGTCAACGTGGTGAAACACCGTCTCTACTAAAAATACAAAAAATTAGCTGGGCACGGTGGTGTGTGCCTGTAATCCCAGCTACTCAGGAGGCTGAGGCAGGAGAATTGCCTGAACCCAGGAGGCAGCGGTGAGCCGAGATCGCGCCATTGCACTCCAGCCTGGGTAACAAGAGCGAAACTCCGTCTCAAAAAAAAAAAAGAAAGGGACACAAAAGAATGAGATTGGCCTGTATTAGCCATGAATAGTGAACTAGATTGTGTGTGTGTTTGTGTGTTTTAATGCAAAAGAATGCGTTTTCTCTAAAATTCTAATTATTATTTCAAGAAACATTTATCAGATGCCAGAGACAATGCTAGACACGGGCTAGAAAGATGAATAAGACATGCTTTTTGCCCTATTTTATAAAATCATATAACTTTGATTTTCTAGACAAAGTAGGAAGAGAATGACATACTTATTTGAGAATGGAATGCATTTGGAGGACAGAAAGAAATGAAGTACACTAAAAGCAAAGATTTTTAATACGTTTTTTAAAATTTATTTTTAGAGACAGAGTCTGTTTTGCCCAGGCTGGTCTTGAACTCCTGGGCTTAAGTGATTCACCCACCCCAGCCTCCCAGTGTTGGAATTACAGGTATGAACCACCATGCCTGGCCAAAGACTGTAATCTTTTACAGCAATGAATGGATTCTCCCTTAAAGTGAATTTGATATATATTGTGAGTTTATCATATATATATATATATATTTTAAATTATTATTATTTTTTTGAGACAGGGTTTTACTCTGTCACCCAGGCTGGAGTGCAGCACGTTGGCTCATGCCAATAATCCCATCACTTTGGGAGGCCGAGACGGGTGGATCAACTGCAGTCAGGAGTTGGAGGCCAGTCTGGCCAACATGGTGAAATCCCATCTCTACTAAAAATACATAAATTCACAATTCATTGCAGCCTCGATTTCCTGGTGTCAGTTGTTCCGCTTGCCTCAGCCTCCCTAGTAGCAAATTAGATACTTTTTAGTAGTATGGCTCTGTTTTGTTTGTTTTAGTGTGAACCAAGGATTTTATTTATTTATTTTGTAGAGACAGGGTCTTGCTTTGTCACCCTTACAATGGGTCAATCATAGCTCACTGCAGCCTCAATATTCTACACTCCAGTGATCCTCCCACTTCAGTCCCCTGAGTAGCTGGGACTATAGGTCTGTACCACCACGCCGGCAATTTTTAAAAAAAATTTTTGTAGAGATGGAATCTCCCTATGTTTCCCAGGCTGCTCTTGGACCCCTGGGCTCAAAAAATCTTGGTCTCCCAAAGTGCTGGGATTCCAGGCGTGAGCCACTCTGCTCTGCCTATGTGGTTTTGTTGAAGTCATAAAGTGAGGCTGGAAGGAATACAGACAGTTTAATCTTGAGTTTTGTTTGTCTACAGCCCAATTCTTTCAGATTTTCTTTCTTTTCTTTTCTCTTTTCCTTTCATTTCTTTCCCCTCCCCTCCCCTCTCCTCCCCCTCCCCTCCCCCTCCCCTCCCCTTCCCTCCCTTCCCTTCCCTTTCCTTCCTTCCTTTCTCTTTCTTTCTCTGTCTCTTTATTTTCTTTCTTTCTTTTTTGAGTCTTGCTCTTGTGGCCCAGGCTGGAGTACAATGCATCACCTCGGCTCACTGCAACCTCCACCTCCCAGGTTCAAGTGATTCTTCTGTCTCAGCCTCCCAAGTGGCTGGCATTACAGGTGCCTGCCCCAACCATACCTGGCTAATTTTTTGTATTTTTAGTATAGACAGGGTTTCACCATGTTGGCCAGGCTGGTCTTGAACTCCTGGCCTCAGGTGAACTATCCACCTCGGCCTCCCAAAATGCTGGGATTATAGTGTGAACCTCTGTGCCCAGCCCAGATTTTCTTTCATATTCTTGTTTCCTGGATATTCTGCATGGTTGATGAATGTTCCTATTTTGTAGATATAAATACATCGCCTTTATGTGAATGTGTATTGTTTTGTAAATAACTTGTAAAATTACTGAGACAATTTACTGTTGGTGGGGGGAAGACCTCATATTCATCTGGTCTACCCCTTCCATTTTATAGCTAAGGAGAAAGCCCTTGATAGCAGAAGTGACTTGCTCCAAACTCCACATGGTTTCTGGCAAAATCTAGGGTTCTTAACACTGCCTAGTGCTGTATGTATTTTGGGAATAGCATAAATTCTATTTCATAAGAAATGACACAGGGAAAAGGCAACTGACCCAAAGATTAGAACTCCCCTGAGAGCCTCTGCTCTCAGACTATATGCTAGGAAAAAGCTGAGCAGTCTTCCTCCAGGGCTTGGGAGACTGACCAGTAATGTAATTACACAGCTTACATCCTCTGGTGAAGAGGATTTTGTAGAACTGCTATGACCCAACATCTGTACTTATTTACCTGAGGCTTATATAGAAGAGACAGTGGCCAATATGCATTTAAGAAGATGAAATGCAGTCGGGTGCAGTGGCTTATGTCTGTAATCGCAGTGCTTTGGGAGGTCAAGGTGGGCCGATCACCTGAGGTCAGAAGTTCGAGACCAGCCTGGCTAACATGGTGAAACCCCGTTTCTACTAAAATTACAAAAATTAGCCAGCTGTGGTGGTGCATGCCTGTAATCCCAGCTACTCTGGAGGCTGAGACAAGAAAATCGCTTGAATCTGGGAGGTAGAGGGTACAGTAAGACAAGATCACACCACTGTACTCCAGCCTGGGTGCCAGAGCAAGGCTCTGTCTCCAAAAAAAAAAAGAAAACGACGATGAAATGCTGCTGGGCACGCTGGCTCAAGCCAATAATCCCATCACTTTGGGAGGCCAAGACATGTGGATCAACTGTGGTCAGGAGTTGGAGGCCAGCCTGGCCAACATGATGAAACCCCACCTCTACTAAAAATACATAAATTAGCTGGGTGTGGTGGGGGCACCTGTAATCCCAGCTACTCAGGGGGCTGAGGCAGGAGAATCTCTTGAACCCACGAGGTGGAGGTTGCAGTGAAATCACACCACTGCACTCCAGCTTGGGTGATAGAGCGAGACACTGTCTCAAGAAACAAAACAAGACAAAAAAGGAAGATGAAATACATGAAAGGAAAGGTTAAAAATGAATGTGGCATATATACACCATGGAATATTATGCAGCAATCAGAAATGATGAGTTTGTGTCCTTTGTAGGGACATGGATGAATCTGGAGAACGTCATTCTCAGCAAACTGACACAAGAACAGAAAATGAAATACGGCATATTCTCACTCATAGGCGGGTGATGAAAAATGAGAACACATGGACACAGGGAGGGGAGTACTAAACACTGGGGTCTATTGGGGGAAAAAGGGGAGGGCCAGCGGGGGGTCGGGGAGCTGGGTAGGGATAGCCTGGGGAGAAATGCCAAATGTGGGTGAAGGGGAGAAAGGAAGCAAAACACACTGCCATGTGTGTACCTATGCAACTGTCTTGCATGTTCTGCACATGTACCCCAAAACCTAAAATGCAATACAAAATTTTTTAAAAAAATGATTGTCATGGGCCAGTTTTTAGTAATACCCTTTCACTCCTTTTGCTGCATGGGACCTTGAGTTTACTGTTCTGCTTGACTGCATGTCTATGAGGCCAAGAACCTGCCTGTCTTGTTTACCATGAGATCGACACAAGCCCAAGCCTGGCATGTAGCAGATATTCAAGAAGGATTTGCTGAATAAATAAGAGATACAGGAATCAAAAGCATTGCTTTTTGCCCTCAAAAAGTATCTTAACAGTTGCTATTGAACATTTTAGTGCCTTTACATTATGCTAATTACTTTCCTAAAGTCAGAAGCTGATGCTCAGTGCATTTGTGTTTTAGCAAATTGAATTGAATCTGTCTGACTCAAAGAAATTTACTTGGAATTGTACATGAAACTGATGCAACCCAGAAATCAGCATCTTGTCTTGCTTGCCTTAAGCCCCAAAGAGCCCATAAGGAGCACCCTAAAAGCCACTGTTCTATTGTTCATCTCCATCTACACACCTTACTGTATGCCCTTTGCCCAATAACCTTTGTGGAGTGTTTCCCTAAGTACTGTCAAGCCACTGACAATTTCAAAACTGGAGCCACTGTTGGTAAATCCAAGTATGTTGCATCAAAACAGTTTCAACCTGCTTGTCTAACTCATAGCCCACATATCTATATAGAGATTTTAAAACTGTTGTAATTTGCCCCATACCTTCCAAGTGATGGCAGATTAGCGATGAGAAGCAATTAGGCAGCAGCTGCTTCCCAACAGTCCCTTCCAGTTTGATCTGTCTCTCCTTTGAGTTCTGACTTAGGAGTTCCTCCTTTACATGGTTTTAAATCCAATTACTTGTCCATTACAATCACCAGTCAATTGCTAGAAAAATTAGACTACTGAGGAGGTAATGGTACAAACATAAGCAGAGGATGCAGACATTAATTAGCAAGAGGTAAGGAGGCGACTGCACTACAAAAATGTCCTAGGACACTGTTTGGAGACAAATCTAACCTGTGCCATAAGTAGAGAGGACAGGGTGGTGGCAGAGGGGAAGAGTGTATTTTGCCCTTACTTTAAGTGAACTTGGTTGTGTCCTGACCTTTGCAAACACCACCCCTCCCCTGTAGTTCCCACTCACCTCTGCAGTGGGCTGTGTCCAGGCTCCTCTGAGGTCCTGGTCACAGGTCAAATCTAAGTTCTCCTCCCTTTCAGCCGCTGCTTTGGTGGCTGCTGCTGTGCTGCCAGCTAACCTTGTTTTTGCTCAAGTAGGAGGCAGGCCGTGGTGATCACATTACAGAGCTGCCTACTGGCTTGGGCCAGGCACGTGATGAAAAATGTTTGGGTCTGTGTGGGCTGAAAACAAAACAGCCTTCTTTACAGAGGGCATGTCCTTAAAGCGGAAAGGAAATCTAAGCTCAAGCAGGAGCTTGAAAAAAGTACATTTGGCTAAACTTTGGGCTTCCCTCCCCCGCCCCATCTTTTTCTTTTAAAAAATTTTCTCGAGTGAGACTTTATCTCAAAAAAAAAACAAAAAAAACAAAAAAACAAACTTCCCTTATGCCTGGCACAGTAGCTCATGCTTGTAATCCCAGCACTTTTGGAGCCTCAGGTGGGTGGATCACGAGGTCAGCAGTTCAAGAACAGCCTGTCCAATATGGTGAAACCCCATTTCTATTAAAAAATATAAAAATTAGCCGGGTGTGGTGGTGCACGCCTGTAATCCCAGCTTCTCAGAAGGCTGAGGCAGGAGAATCACTTGAACCTGGGAGGCTGAGGTTGTAGTGAGTGCACTATAGCCTTGGTGACAGTGAGACTCCCACTCAAAAATAATTTTTTTTCCTCCATCACGTGTAACTTACGAAAATATTGCTGACCCATAGGAATCAGATTCAAGAAAAGATGTGGGTATCAAATAATGGCAGGTAGTACAAGTTGATAAAAAGGTGACAGAGACCAGAAGACCTCATTTTATTTTTTTTCATTGCTTCTCTTCCTGTGAAGGGCAGGCAAGGGAGGAGAGATGCATCAGCTATTGCTAATGAATCTAGATGCAGGAAAGGCATGCCTGTGGAGGGTGAATTTGCACTGTGATTGAAATAGGGGAATTTAGGATACAGGACCCATGACATGAAGTGAGAGAACTTTGGAAAAAGAGCAGCTTTTAAATTTCTAAAAATTGTTTTTATAGGCAAATGTGCAAATGATAAAAAATACAAAAGGGTCAAAAGAATGTACAATGAAAAGTCTTTTTAATTCTCCTCGGTCCCCTTTTTTTCCTCCCAAGAGACACACCCTGTGACCAGGTTTTTGAATATCCTTTCGGAGCTTGCATATGTAAATAGAAACATGTGTAGGTCTCGCGCTCCTTTAGCAATAGCGCCGTAGTATGTTTGTTATATACCTTGCTTGTTCACTTTACATTCAAACATGGAGATTGGCTAGGCATGGTGGTGCTTATGAGTAGTCCCCACTATTTGGGAGGCCAAGGTTGGAGGATCATTTAAGATCAGCCTGGGCCACACAGGAAGACTCCTCTCTAAAATGAAACAAAACAAAACAAAACTCAAAAACTTGGCTGGGCATGGTGGCTCACGCCTGTAATCTCAGCACTTTGAAAAACCAAGGTGGGAGGGTCACTTGAAGCCAGGAGTTTGAGATCAGCCTGGGCAACATAGCAAAACCCCATCTCTATGGAAAAAAAAAAAAAAAAATAGCAGAGCCTACTGGCACATGTCTGTTATTCCAGCTTCTCAGGAGGTTGAGGTGGGAGGATGTTTTAAGCCCAGGGGTAGGAGGCTGCAGTGAGCTGATTGTACCACTGTCACCTGAGTGACAGAGTGGGACCCTGTCTCTAAAAAAAACAAAAAATGCTGGATGCAGTGGCTCACACCTGTAATCCCAGAAATCTTTGGAAGGCTGAGGCAGGAGGATTTCTTAAGCCAAGAGTTAGAGACCAGCCTGGGCAACATAATGCGGCTCTGTCTCTAAAATAAATAAAATAAAACCATCAACAACAAACCATGGCAACTGCTCCATATAGTACCTTTAAGAGCTGCCATGTTCTGTTTAATGGCTGCCTCCTGTCCCATTGTATAGATGTGTCATACTCTATTTGGCCAATAAAAGACCATGTCTTCCTCATTTTCCTTGCCTAATTCATTGCACAAAGCAAGGGCTCAGTAAAGATTCAATGCTTGCTCACAAATGAATTATGTTTTGTACAACTTGTTCATGTTTTTCCTCATCTTTCCTTTCAGGGCTACTAATTTTTTTTGTCAGTATTCCAGGTATTATATAAGTCTATATTTTCCAGCTGGCCCGGCCTGTCTTGTGCACTGATCAAACCTGTGTTACCAGACTTCCAAGACTCACTTTAGTTTGGCTCTTCTCAGATTATATTATTTCCTATTCCCTCATACTTTCTATTTTTATTTTTATTTTTTTGAGATGGAGTCTCATTCTGTCACCCAGGTTGGAGTATAGCAGCATGACCTTGGCTCACTGCAACCTCTGCCTCCCGTGTTTAAGTGATTCTCCTGCCTCAGCCTCCTGAGTGGCTGGGACTACAGGTGCCCACTACCTCACCTGGCTAAATTTTTTTGTGTATTTTTTTTTTGAGATGGAGTTTCGCTCTTGTTACCCAGGTTGGAGTGCAATGGCTCAATCTCGGCTCACCGCAACCTCCACCTCCTGGGTTCAGGCAATTCTCCTGCCTTAGCCTCCAGAGTAGCTGGGATTACAGGCACGCGCCACCATGCCCAGCTAATTTTTTGCATTTTTAGTAGAGACAATGTTTCACCATGTTGACCAGGATGGTCTCAATCTCTTAACCTGGTGATCCACCCGCCTCGGCCTCCCAAAGTGCTGGGATTACAGGCTTGAGCCACTGTGCCCGGCCTTTTTTTTTTTTTTTTTGTATTTTTAGAAGAGACAGAGTTTCACCATGTTGGCCAGGCTGATCTCGAGCTCCTGACCTCAGACGATCTGCGTGCCTTGGCCTCCCAAAGTGTTTTGATTACAGGTGTGAGTCACTGTACCTGGCCTATTTTTAAAAATTTCTTTTTTTTTGAGACAGAGTCTCACTCTTTCGCCAGGTGCCAGGCTGGAGTGCAGTGGCGTGATCTTGGCTCACTGCAACCTCCGCCTCCCAGCTTCAAGCAATTCTCCTGACAGCCTCCCGAGTAGCTGGGACTACAGGCGCATGCCACCACGTCCAGCTAATTTTTTTATTTTAGTAGAGACACGGTTTCACTATGTTGGCCAGGATGGTCTCAATCTCTTGACCTCGTGATCTGCCCGCCTCTGCCTCCCAAAGAGCTAGGATTACAGGCATGAGTTAAAAATTTCTTGAGCCAGAGGGTCTCACTCTGGTACCCAGGCTGGAGTGGAGTAGCTCAGTCATGGCTCATTGCAGTCTCAAAGTTCTGGGCTCAAGTGATCCTCCTGCCTCAGCCTCCAAAGCAGTTGGACTACAGGCACACACCACCATGCCCCACTAATTAAAAAAATTTTTTTTTAGAGACAGAGTCTGGCTATGTTGCTCAGGCTGGTCTCAAACTCTTTTTTTTTTTTGGGGGCGGGGAGGAAGGCAGGAAGGGAGGGAAGAAGGACGGTAGGGAGGAAGGAAGGAATGAAGGAAGGAAGGAAGGAAGGGCGGATGCGGGGAGGGAGGGAAGAAGGATGGTAGGGAGGAAGGAAGGGATGAAGGAAGGAAGGAAGGAAGGGAGGAAGCGGGGAGGGAGGGAGGGAAGGGAAGGAAGGAAATCAAGCAATGAGAGAGACATTGCCGACCTGGATCTAGAGGTTTACAAGTTGATTTCTTTTTTTTTGAGAGAAGGAAAGAAAAAAAAATAAGTAAAGGAGAGGAAGAAAGAGGAAGAGAAAGAGGGAGAGTAAATGGAAATATTGCTTTATTTTGAAAAAAATTGAGTATTAATAATGGCCAATCAATGTTTCATTTAAACTTATGGGTAGGTGTGATGTGGTATTGACAAGAATGTATATTTTGTGTATTTGAAGTGGAGAGCTCTATGAATATTTATTAAGTTTACTTGTTCCAGATCTGAGTTCAAGTCCTTGATATCCTTATTAATTTTCTGTCTCATTGAATCTAAGTCTCGTATCTGGGTGTTAGGATCGTTAGCTCTTGTTGTTGCATTGATCCTTTTACCACTATATCTTTGTTGCTTTAAAATCTATTTTCTCCGATACGAGAATTGCAACTCCTGCTTTTTATTTATTTATTACTTATTTTGCTCTCCATTTGGTTGGTAAATCTTTCTCCATCCCTTTGTTTTGAGTCTTTGTGTATCCTTGCATGTGAAACAGGTCTGGATGTAAAATGCCATTGGGTTTTGGCTGTGTCTTTTGATTGGGGGATTTAGTCAGTTTAAATTTAGGGTTGCTGCCATTTGATGTTGACTGGCTGTTTTATCCATTCGTTGGTGTAAATTCTTCTTTATGTTGGTGCTCTTTACTTTTTGGTGTATTTTTAGAAAGGCTAATACTGGTTGTTTCTTTCTGTGTGTAATGCTTCTTTCAGAAGCTCTTGTAAAGCAGGCCTGGTGGTAATAAAATCTCTGAGTTCTTGCTTGTTCATAAAAGATTTTATTTTTCCTTCAGTTGTGAAGCTTAGTTTGGCTGGATATGAAATTCTGGGCTGAAGGTTCTGTTCTTTGAGAATGTTGAATATTGGCCCCCACTCTCTTCTGGCTTGTAGAGTTTCTGCTGAGAGATCTGCTGTAAGTCTGATAAGCTTGCCTTTGTGGGTTATCCGACCTTTCTCTCTGGCTGCCCTTAGTATTTTCTCCTTCGTTTCAACCCTGGTGAATCTAACCATTATGTGCCTTGGGGTTGCTCTTCTTGAGGAATATCTTTGTGGTGTTCTCTGTATTACCTGGGGTTGAATTTTGACCTGCTTTGCTAGTTTAGGAAAATTTTCCTGAATAATATCCTGAAGGGTATTTTCCAGCTTGGATTCATTCTCTCCGTCGCATTCAGGTACACCTATCAAACGTAAATTTGGTCTTTTCACATAGTCCTACATTTCTTGGAGACTTTGCTCATTCCTTTTTATCCTTTTTTCTCTGATCTTTTCTTCACGTTTTATTTCATTAAGTTGGACTTTGACCTCTGATATTCCTTCTTCTGCTTGAACAATTCGAGTGTTTAAACCTGTGCATACTTCTCGGAGTTCCTGTATTGTATTCTTTAGTTCCATTAATTCACTCATACTCCGCTCTAAGTTGTCTATTCTCAACAGGATTTCATCAAACCTTTTTTCAAAGTTCCTAGTTT